TCCCTTTTCTTGTTATTTTTCTGAACTAATGTGGCAATTTGCTCATTGACCTTGTGCTCAAGACATATTCATGTATTGCTCTGCTCTGGAGAGTGCTGGTTGTTGCCTCATTGAATTCAGTCCTTATGCTATCTCTTTTTCACTTTTGCCTTTTTTTTTTTGTCCTCCCAAGTGTGAAAGTATCACTAACTTCTCTTCCACTTTCCTGGTCATGGTTGCTGTAGGGTATTATGTTTCTCCTTTGATTGCCATTGATTGATTGATTGTATCTGATGAACTGTCTCTCGGCGGGCCTCCCTCACCCTCCTAGCTCTGACTTATTATACAGTATCAGAGAAAAGGCAATATTTTTGTCCTTTCTACCTTAATGGCTTAAATCAGACATGTCAAACACAAGGCCCGGGGGCCAGATGCGGCCTGCGAAGTGGTTTCATGTGGCCCGTGAAGCCATCCTGGAAACAGTGAGGGAACGGCCCCCGCTGCCTTGGCCCTGGCCCAGGCCAGCCGGGAACCTATGTACAATTTTGTGGTGGCCATCTTGGCACTTGCCCCAGTGGACCATGCCTTGGCACTTGCCCCAGTCCCACCCCCTTCTGCCAGAGACCCTCAGATCTGTCCCACTCCTGCCCAGGTCCCCATAGGCACCCTTGACGTGAATGATGTAGAACTGGCCACACCCACCCAGTAGCCACACCCACTCCATCCACAGCCACCCAGTAGGCTGAACCCACTCTGGCCTCACCCACCCGGCCCCCCCAGGGCAACCGTAATGCTGATGTAGCCCTCAGTGAAATCGAGTTTGAAACCCCTGGCTTAAATAAATGGAGATGAGCACCGCCCCCTAAAATCGGTTACAACTAGCAGAGTGAAACCTGCAGGGACTCCTTTACCTTTCTGGGAAGAACCCCTGTTCTAGTACTCTCCCTCTCCTTGAATAGAGCAAATCTCAGTCACTTTCTCACTTTTTAAAAATTATTTTTTTTTATAATCCTAGACCATTGAAATTATTTTTATTTATTTTATTTATATGCCTCCCATCTCATTATTGAAGCAACTCTGGACAGCTTACAAAAGGATAAAAGAATAAATATAAAACCAATTAAAATTGGTAAGAATTAAATAAAGACTAAAAACCAAGAGGATGAGGGTGGTGTGTTCTTTCTGATCCCGTTAATCATTTCCAGTATAGAGCATCTCCACCAGAGCCCTCATGTATATCCAGAAAAGTCAAGTTTTAAGACCCTTCTGGAAGGCTAAATCTAACCTCTGGCAGCAGAATGTTCCAAAGGGTGGAGGCTGCAGCAGAAAAGGGTCTTCTAGACTCTGCCAGCCAAAATTCCTTGCAGATGGGGTCGGGAGCAAATCCCTTCTGCTGGAGTGAGTATGGTGAGCCAATCACATTGGAGTGAGACTGCTTCTCAAATATAGTGAATAACGGGAAAAAAATTAAAAACTGAAACAGTGGTTTCTAAAAGCCATGACTATTGATAAAAAAAAATTATTTATTTATTTGGAAAATTTATATTGCTGACTCAAGGCGGCTTACAGGAAATAAAGACACAATATAAAAGAAATAAAAATAATAAAAAATAAAGACAATAAAATAATAACCCCGCCACCCCGGTGACAACACACACTCATACTAGCCATTTAATGGGCTCCATCCCACTCTGGATTCCCCAGGCTCGCTGGCAGAACCACATCTTTAGGGCCTTCTGAAAGAGTGTTAGAGTGGGGGCCTGTCTAATTTCCGGAGGGATGATGTTCCAGAGGGAGCAATTAAAATTACTGAGAACTGGGGCTATATCAGCATTGGGTATATAATGGGCATTTTAATAACACATGTGATGCACACTCAGCCTCTATATCTGAGCATAGGTAAGTGTGGTTTTCACATGGGATGTTCGTTGGTCATTCTTATGGGTAGCAGCCAATGCATGCCAAAATTAAAAAAAAAAGTCTCCTGTGAGGGACATGAGATGACTGAGATGGAATTATATTATAGAAAAGATAGGAAATCTAACTCTGTCAATTTGAATAGCTTGGTACGAAGGTTAGAAAATGTCAACAAGGGAAGGCTACAACCTGCCAAGTCAATGTTAATGCATATCTTTACATGGAACCAAACTTGTCCAACAAGTTCCCCAAAAGGCTTATGGAGATTCTCAATCATCCAAGTCATTGTTATCCCGAAGATGCTTTTTCACGAGGCAACTGGACTTTCTTGTTTTTCTTTGAAGACATTTCGCTTCTCATCCAAGAGCTGAAGAAACTTCTTGGATAAGAAGCAAAACGTCTTTAAAAAAAAGTTCAGTTGCCTCGTGAAAAAGCATCCTTGGGTTCCCCAAAAGGCAGAATTAAATGCACCCCAAAGAAGATGCAGCCTAATTTTAACCATATTTGAATATTAGAAATTGAGTGAGACCCTATCAATTTGAATATTTAAGTTCCATATGATCTGCCAGAGTTTTATCCTAGCCAAGGGCAGAAAGTATCAGCAAGGAAAGACCACAATATGCTAAATCATTACTTGTACAACAACCTTCCTCTCCCACCCCTAGGAAATCTATTTTCTTCCTCTGAGAAGTACTGGTGGATAGCAGATAGAGAAGACCTATTGTATAGCCAGTTAGGTAGCTTGAATTTATGGAAATACTGTGAACACAACTGTCAAAAGAGACATGCAAGAATGTCCAATAAATGCTACATTTATTTGTTGGTTTATTTATTAGATTTTTATTCTGCCTTTGTTTTTGGTGAACTCAGGGTGGCATATGTATTCAATCTCCTGCCTCCTATTTTCTTTACAATAACCACCCTGTGAGCTGGGTTGGACTGAGACTGATTGACCCAAAGTTGCTTACATGTCTATGGGTGGACTTGTACTGAAGGTGTCCCAGTTGCTAGTCAGCACTTTAGTCAGTACACCAAACTTGGCATTCAGATAGCCCCATTTGACTGTTGTTGCTCCTATACAAGGAATCCAGATAAGTTCCATCTCAAAAATTCTTCCTTCCGTTCTTCAAGATGGCAATGGGGGAAAACTGCTAAAGGGGAATGAGGGAATTTTGGAAAACTGATTTTTTTCCCACTGTGACTGGAAGCTGCCAACAAAAAGTCATAGGTTCGATCTGTGCTATTACAGGGAATGGTCCAATAAACCTGCCGTCCTTCTCTTAAACAGTTTTGTGGAAGGGAGAAATCTAGCAGAAAACTGTGCTTGGGGAGCACTTTCTTGGCAGTTACTGTCAGCACTTTTGTTGGGATGAAGCACTTGATTCTTAAGAAAGGTTGAAGTTCCTGAAGAAGGCAAGAGCCATCTGGAACAAAGAGCTAGAAAGTGCTTGGTAGCCCCTATGAGTGTTAACCATCGGGGATCTGAAACGCTGTTACCTGATATGAATAAGTTATTATAACTGAAAGCCATAGGTTAAAAAAGTCGATCCAAGTGTCTTTCTGAGTAGTTTATTTTTGTAAGGTGGCATTTGTCTTATACTTCTCAATGGTGGGAAGAAGGCATCTCTTTTACATCTGATAGTTAAAATCCAGTTTTCCATAAAGTGTAATGAACACATATTATTTTTTCTTTTTGTATTGTGTTTTAATTGATTTAATTGATTTTAGGATTGTTTGCTGTCCAGATTGTTTGAGATGGGAGACTGTATAAATTGAATGAATGAGAGAGTGAATGAATGAATGAATGAATGAATGAATGAATGAGATTCTAAATGTTCTGCAGTCAAAACAACACGTATAATATAGTGAACCAATAAAAATAATTATCTCTTACTAAATACTAATCCAACTTTTCATGGCAGATTCTATCTAGATGAGGTGGTCTCAAATCTACCCGAGTCCCAAGATATAACAACTGGCTTCTTAAAACCCACCCTAATTGATCAGGGGGTTGAAGAGGCAATGGGAGATTTGTATCTTCAGACTTGCCAGATTCTGTTAATGTACCCTTACGAAAAATAAAATTAGCTCATTTGGCCGTGATGTTTTTTATTTGTATTCCCCCTTTACTATTTTTATAAATAACTGAAGACAACGAACATATCGAATGATCTACCTTCCTCCCCCTATTTTCCTGCAACTGTTCTTCATATGTTTTAGCCTCAGGGGCAGAATTAGTAATCTATATCAGCAGGTTGATATAGTTGCTTCCTTCTATTCCCTATAGTCATTTGAAAACTTTTACCAAATCTTTTCTCTGCTCACCTTTTGAAGTGGAGTGGGGATGTAGTCATCCTTTCTCTTTTTGTAAGAATGCCTATGGGATGTGTGTAATGTCCAGGGACATTCTTGGAATTAAAAATGGTATTGGGATCTGGTACATGGTTGTGCAGCCTAAATGTCAATGGAGATTCTCAGCGATCCAGGTCCCAAAGCTATCTGCCATCCAGTCAGAGCTGAAGAAGCTTCTTGGATGAAAAGCGAAACATCTTCAAAGGAAAACAAGAAAGGTTGTGTGGTCCTTTAGCTTTTTTTGCAGATGTTTTAATTAAAAGGATAAATCTTTTTTTTAAAAAAATTAACATGAGTAGAAAGCCTGGCAGACACAAAGGAAATGCCCTAAGTCATGGTAGAATATGGGAACCAGAACTGCCTACCTCTGTGATAGGAAAAGTAAGACATAACAAATGTACATCAAGGTTTTATAATTAGCATATTGCTGTGTATATCTTGAGATAAAGAGGACTATGAAATTAAATAAATAAAATGCCTGGGGTAATGGTTGTGAGCAGTGACCACATGATTTTAATAGATACAATACAAAGAAAATTCCATAATCCTGTCTTTGAATGTAGCATATAGATATATTAGTATGGGTCTAATTTCCTTCTAATTTTGTATCTTTTACCCCCTTTTGTATAAACAATTGACTTTTGTTATTTAAATTTACTTAATTAAAATGTAAACATGATGTCATTGCAAGTGCTACTTCAAACATTGATTTTACCTACAGTATTCTAAGGTGTGGTATTTTGATTTTCTAGGAATTCCAACAGTATTCTTTCACCGAGCTAAAATACCTCGTAATGTCTCAAAAGACTGAAATAGAGCTTTTGCAAAAAAAATTGAAAAGAACAAATCGTTCACTGGCAAATCATAGTCTTTGCAGTAGAGATTTCTTGGATTGCATCAGTACTAGGGCTGGGAAAAAATACAAGGTAGGAAAGCGTTTATTGCCTAGTGTATTTGTGTCAAAATGAGGTTGGCAAAGTTTGACATTTTGTTCTGGGACTCAGATAATAACAGTTTTAATAACTGTCAATGCTACTTATAATTCTGGAAGCTTTATCGAAGAGTGTTTTTATTATCTGCCAAAGACTTGTTAAAATAACTTTTGGGAGTAGGAAGTTTTACCTTATTAAACACTGGATAAAGGATTGTTAATTTAATGAAATTATTTAAAAGTTCAATTCTTTGTAGAATTCTTAGATGAATATTTATTACTTGATAGTGTTTGTGCGGTTGTCTGTTCTTTCCAAACAAATGAAACTGAGGTTAAATTAAAAAAAATCAAGTTTGGATTTAAAAGTTTGTAATTAATGAAAATGCTGAGTTAGGAGTTTATACAAATGATGTTACTTTACTTTTAGAATTAATTACTATTCTAAAGGCAGTAATTTTACATTTATTTTGTTTCTTAGAAATTTTCTTTTATTCTGCTTTGAAAGCTCATGCCTGGTTTCACTGCATCATTAATCAGAACACAAATAAAACAACAATACACTCTATTAAAATATCTGCTGAGACCTGATACTCAAACATAATTCAAATAAAAAAAAGATGCTATAATTGTGAGACGTAGTATAATTTCTGCACTGAGATTGCTACATTGCCTGCCATTTGCTTTCTGGGTCAACTTTAAGATGCTCACTTTGGTACATAAAAACTCACAAAGTTTAGACCCAAGATCACCCATTGCCATATAGTTCATCTCATACTTTTAAGACTGCAATGGGGCACTTCGTACACATCCAATATAACACCAGCAAATTCTGCCTTTTCCATTGTGGGATCCATATTATGGAATAAATTGCCACCAAGAGATTTCAGACTGTCCCATCCATTTACACTCAGAAAAGGGCTTAAAACCTCAATTTTTGCTCAGGTGCTTTAGAGATTTTTAAACAATTATTTTATGATTATTTTTAGAATATTTAAATGATTTGAAATTGTGTATCTGTACGTTTGTAAATCACCCAAGAACATTGGCATGAGCAGCAAATAAATAAATAAGAGAAAAGGCAGGCAGAGGTCCTAGCAGTTTGAGGGTAAGGTCTAGATCACTTGAAGAAGCACCTCTGCAGACTTGAAATTTTATTAAGCATTACAATTATACAAATAACTAATATAAATGACAAAAATGCAAGATAGTGCAGGAAAAAGGAATATAGGAAGGAAGGAAGGAACTTCGCCCCTAGTCACAAGTACAAACAATTTTAACAAGTTAACAAGTTACCACCTTATCTTAAAATATAACCAACAAATTCTTCCTCCTATATCTTATCGCTTTTCTATAAACAAATCTTTGTCTTTCACTCCTGGTTAGCAAAAGTCCGTTAAGGAATATATATAACAACATAGAAATAATAGTATAAACAGTATAACAATAAAATAACAATTTTAGCCTTAATCAAATAAACCAAATTTACCTTCTCTTTATTTTTAACAATGTTGGTTTTTAAACTCTTCACATGATATTCTAGAGAGAACTTGATTTCTTTTCATTTTTCCATTCACCCTAATCAGCAAGTCTTTCAAAACTTTAACAGATCTCCTTTTTAAATTAGTATAGGAAGATTATCCAAGTCACCCTTCTGTTTTGTTATTTGTTTGTCAGTCTTCCCAGGTAAACCAAATAGGAAACACAGCTAGACAAACTAATTCTATTTTATTGAAGACTTCATAAATATAATCTTGCAAGTCTGAAAGTACAAATCTCCTTAACAACCTGAAAAGCTAGAGAAAATCCTTTATGACAGGGGTCCCCAACTCCCAGTACATGGACCATTACCAGTCCATGGCATGCCAGCAACTCGTCCATGCAAACAAGTGAAGCCCCATTTGCGAGATGCAGGCAGCGTGCAAAACCACGTCCGGTTCGCGGAAAAACCTTTCTCCATGGTCCCTGGTGCCGAAAAGGTTGGGGGGCGCTGCTTTATGAGTCTCTTTCTCTGCCCGTTATGCAGCAGCAGGCTATACCCTCTCTTATCTGACAGTTTCCTAGGCAGCATTTTTTCATCCCATCTCTCAAGACTTTTCTTACATACCATTACACCTTTGTACTTTTTAATTATGAAAACATCAGCTGATTCATTTGTATATCGAACCTATCATCTTTTTCTAGATCATTCTTGTAGCCTGACAAGAATAACATCTGAAACAGGTGAAAGACTAACATCTCTTACTCAAATCTAATCTTAATATTTCTCTGATCAAATATTCCCATCTTCACTCCCAGCTCCTTAACCTGCATATCATTATCAGAATACATTGACTGTGAATTACATCTAATATCTATATAAGTATTCCTCAATCTATTGCCTGCCAAATATGTTCATTTATGTTCTATGGTGCTTAGGAGTTATGGGTCCAACATATCCGGAAGGGGTTTTGTTGGGCAAACCTGCCTAAATTGTGTCTGGTTTTTCACTCAAAGACACAAAGGTATCATCCAGGTGGGATATGGCAGATTTACTTTGTTTTTAAAATATATATTGGGACTTCTTATTCCTGTGTACTTTGACTCATAATGTGCTTTATTTTAATTGATAAAATAAATTATCCTCTTTTCTTTAAATTGTACTCATGAAATAATGTTTCAAAGAAAACATATTTTTAAACTGAATCTCTGTCATGGGCAAAAGTCTGTACTTTCTGCCTTTGTTCTGTTCAAAATGAAAAGCTAGACCAGTGATGGCGAACCTTTTAGAGACTGAGTGCCCAAAAACTGGCCCCGCCCCTGCTCTACCCCCCCTGCCCCACCCCTGCTCTGCCCCCCATCCCCCACCCCGCCTGCCCACAGGACCACTCACCGCCTTCAGGGCCTACCGCAGATCGCCCAGGCAGCCCAGCAGCGCTATGGCGGCCACACCCTCTGCCTGCACCCTGCAGCATCAACTGTGCATGATGGGGTGTGAGGGCAGAGTCTTGTCTACACTGCCTGGCTGCCATGTCCTTGGCTGCGCTGCTCCATGTGGGCCACCCTCGAGGGCGACTCTCCTTCAGGGGGGCTGCTGGAGAGGAGGGGGTCGTGGGGGGAGGCAAGGCTGGGGCAACGGCACGTGTGCCCACAGAGAGGGCTCCGAGTGCCGCCTCTGGCACTCGTGCCATAGGTTCGCCACCACTGAGCTAGACTCTCCCAGCCCTTTTTCTTTTATTCAAAAGAGAAACTGCAATGACTTTTGGAAGAATTTTTTTTTTTGTATTAACTAAAACAAAATTCCATGGGCAAAATGTCACTTCATATTTTGCAGTTATTTAAATCATTAAAACTTTAAGATTAGCATTATGATTAAAATGTTGTTCCATATGCTAATCACAGTTATTCACAGAAATTCGGTAAAACTAATCTGTATGTTTTATTTGTTTTACATGAGGACATTTGACATAGCACAAGCAAGAAGGTTGCCCAGTTTAAGTACTAGTTTCACACATCCTTTCTCCAGATTGCTATATGAGCTGCACATAATATAAACACATATTCTTGTCTCTAGTTAGACATATTATATTTAATGACCATATGGTCATTATGGTGTAAGATCTACTGTCTGTTTTATTTATATTCCTCAAGCATATTGTTCCTTCAACTTCACAGTGTGTTAAACTATTTCAGAGGGAAACCACTCTTTCCCTCTTGTTTCTGGTTGTCCTATCAAGTGTAACCTTGGACCCTTATAGAGCAATTAGATCAGCCTCTATCCCCTCCTTTGTAATGAGGTTTCTTGCATTTCTGAGACTATAACCCTTTAGTCTTCCCTAATGGGACATCATTATTCTGAAAGAAACAATGTAAATGTAAATGAATATTCTCATTAACGAGTCACAGAGAAACCTTTAGTGGTAGCGCTGTGGTAATTCTGCTTGTTATTTCTCTGGTATACCATGCAGGATTTTTTTTTATAATTCATTATTAGTATTCAAAATTACTTGTTCTTTAATTTTGCATGTCTTTCATAATCCAGCGTTCCAACCACTTCAACCATGTCCTTGTTTTATTCTCCAGAAACCACCTGTGAAACGTTCAAGGTCTCTGTCCCCAAAGAGCTTTTTGAAAGAGTCAGAAGAACTACGGAAACTCAGAATAGCTGAAGGAAAGATTGAAAACTTAGAAAAGACACTACAACTAAAGGTGAAAATGAAAATACATAACTTTTTTACTTGGCATCACTAGACCGACAACAAAATGTGTGCAATTTATGGCACATTGCACTGTCTGTTGAAATTGAAAATGAATTAGGTGAAAGATATGTTTTATTATGTACATAAAGGTATATCTGTTTTCTTTGTATATATTTTTTCTGTGTGTAAAATGTTGCAACTGTAACATAAGTGGTCCGGGAGATATTTTAATTAATAATTGTAGGCTCTAGATCTGTGCAAATATATTTGTCTATTCTTAAGAGGACTTCTTTGTTTCAAATGTTATAAATTACATATGTAAAGTTTAAATAGCATTGATTGCTTATGCCTTGAATTTCTGTTTCTAGCCACATGGATACTAGAATCAATATGTATAGCTATTTCAAGTTCAGTAGTGCAAAATCTGTGGTCTCTGTATATAGTCATGTAAAAAAGTACTTTTTCACCATGTTAAAGACTTTTTTAACATATATGTACATAACATTTTATCTTCATTCAAACAGTGTGAAAAGACAAAGGTGATATCACTGAACAACAATATGACAAATTGATTTTGTAGTCTCATTTACTGAACAAAAAATTAACAGATGTGCTATTTCCTTCTGGGGGAAAAGGAAGTACATCTTTCTCTGTAATAATTGGTAACATCTTTTGGCAAAAACAACCATAAATAGATTTTTTATAACTGTGTACCAGTGTCTGATATTGACCTTGAAGAAATCTTTCCCATTCCTCCATTCAGATTTTTTTTTCCAGCTGTGCAATATTTGAGGGATTTTTGCATGCATAGCCCATTTTAAATACATCCACAGCATCTCAATGGCCTTTCTATCAAGACTTTGACTTGGCTATTCCAGAACCCTTCCTTTTATATTTTTTAAGCCAATCTTTGGCTGATTTACTGTGATATTTAGAGTCATTGTTATGTTTCAAGCTCAACTTTGGGATGAGCTCCAGTCTTCTGACAGATGGTCTCACATTATCTTCAAGTACCCTCTAGAGAATTCCTAGGAGAAACTGTGATGGTGTGTGCTGCCCAAGTCCTAATGCAGCAAAGCAGCCCCAAACTATAACATTACCACCATCATGCTTTACAGTTGGTATCAGATTCTTCTGGTGAAATACTGTCCTTAGTTTTCATCAAAACGTGGTGCTGGTACTATGGCCAAATAAACTATCTTTGCTTCATCTGTCCAGAGTACATTGTTCCAGAAATCTTGACTTTCCCTAGAAGTTCATGAGCAGCTTTAATCTTGCCCTGATATTCTTTCTACACAACAGATTTTCCTCCTGACATATGTCCTATGTAGATTTGATTTGTCCCAGCTTCTTTCTGATGATTAATTCAAGCATTTTGATAGTGTTAATAGTGATAACTACCGGTACCTGACGGTTACATGATGAAATTCTAGGGTTCTTAGAAACTTCTTTTAGCATCTTGTGTTCTGCTCTCAGGCTAAATTTGGTGGAACAGCCTGGCCTGGACAAGTTGGCAGTTGTTGGAAATCTTCTCCTCTCATTGATGATCTTCCAGACAGTGGAATGATTGATGTCTACTTGTTTAGCAATATTAAATCTCTCTCCATTTGCATAGATATTTCTAATCTTCTTTCTGAAGGTCTCAGAGACCTCTTTCGATACCTCACACTTCAACAACAAAGAGCAAATCAGAACAAATATCTGAAGTTTCAATAAGGCAAGTTACCAAATTTTCACCAAAGACGTTCTAAGCATTTGCCCCAGATTTGGCACACGTGATTCTAATGTGAGGTATTTGGTAAATAATAGGAGTGTACTTACTTTTGCATGCAAAATCTACCTATGCTTTTATTTAAATTACACAATGGGTTACAAAATGCATTGCAATTTAAAACTTGGGAAGGATCCACCCTGATTGATCAGACAGTTAAAAGTGGTGGGAGAAAGGTTGTGCCTTCAGCTTTGCAAGATTCTGTTAGTACAGCCTTATGATAAAGTAGAATTAGCTCATCTAGTCTTGTTTCCTGTCTGGCTTACCTGGGAAGGCTGAAGTTAGGGTGGCCAATGGCTTTTTTCTAATTGTTTATTCATCGGTCATAAAAGGAAACATTTTGTCATCTAATGGAAGTTGGGATGCGTGCTTTTTCTGTGGCAGCCCCTGCCCTATGTGACATCTTGCCCTTGATGTTCAGCAGACCTCCATCCCTTTAACCTTCCATAAGGCCTTAAAGACTTGACTTTCCCCTCCAAATGTTGGGAGATTACATGGTCTGTTAGCATGGATTAGTATTAGGTTTTTGTTATTTTTCATGTTTTATGTTTTAACTGGTTGTGCTTTATAGTTTTTAAAATGATTGTATGTGTTTTCTAATCTTTGATGGAGAGTCACCCAGAGTTGGCTGAAAGATGGGTGGCTACATAAATATTTTAAATAAATAAATAAAATATTACTCTTGAAAATACTTTGTATCAATTTTTAAATCTTTTTTACATATCCACCAAGCATGATAGAATGTCTATTCATGTTGTTCACATTTCCAACATACACTTTGAAGTGCCTTCATACCTTCTAAATAATTTCTCTGGTGCCATGTATCAACATCACAACATTTTATAAGATGTTTTTTTTTTGAGATCATAGCACAGTATAAATTTCAACCCTTTTAACTACATATTTTCCCACTGATCCATCTGTATATTATAACCAAAATTCTTAGCCCATTTTATCATACATCTTTTAACCTGTCTTCCTTGTTTCAAATTTCAATAAAACTTTATACCTTTTGTCCATTTTGAGTCTTTCTGATAACTGTAAATGGGAAAGCCATTAAGAATGATATCCTTCTGCTATTAATTGCTTTCTTGATTTGCTTTTAAATTCCCCTTGATAGATTCCCAATAATTCCTGGTACATCAAGCATTGGTCTTTGTCAGCTGTTTCCTCTTTTATAATATGCTTCTTGAACTGAGATCCATACAGGTTTTTTTTAAAGATACAACTTGGGTTTATATCTATTCCATGTCTTCAATATGTCATGTCTATTAAAACTATTTTTAAAGTCCAGATTAATTTTAACTTTTTTATGCAATACTTATCAATGCTTTCCAAACCTTGTAACTCTAAAAGTCTCTTTTTAGCTTTAGATATTTAGCAATAGCATAGCAACAGCACTTAGCTTTATATACCCCTTTGTAGTGCTTTACAGCCCTCTCTAAGCATTTTACAGAGTGAGCATATTGCCTCCAACAGTCTGGATCCTTATTTTACCGACCTTAGAAGAATGGAAGGCTAAGTCAGAATTGAACTGCTGGCAGTGGGAATGTAGAATTAGACTGCAATACTGCATTCTTACCACTGCGTCACCACAGCTATTTGAAAGTTACTGCATTTATTTATATATTAATCCTATTTACAGTATTGATTTATCTGTCTATCAATCCATCCTTCCATCTGTCCATCCATCCATTCAATTTACATGTCTAGCCATCTCAATAAATGCATTATTCTGTGGAACTTAACCATATCCTTCCTCAGGTTTTTTTTTTATTATTTATTTGTTTCTGGGGGTTTGGCTATAGTGTCCAAAATATTTTAGCCTTTTTCCATCAGCAAAGTCTAGGGCAAGGGTGTCAAACTGCCGGCCCGCGGGTCGGACACGTCATCCAGAAACCGCACCCACCCCATTGCCTGCAATGGCAAAACCATCCCGATACTTTGCGCGACGTCATGTGATGTCACGAGTTTGATATGTCTGGTTTAGGGTTTTGGTTATATTCTTCTATACTTTTCCCATCAGTGTTAACATCCATTTTCAGAGGTGATGGTCATAATTTTACATAATACCCCAAATGTAGATATAATGTACATTTGTGTGATATTATTTGCAGTTGTATTTTATGTTTCATAAAGTTGTACAAGATTAAATACAAATGCTCACCATACTGCAAAAGGAACTCTTTGATGATAAAATAAGTATATGGTATATTATAAAGTGCTATAAATATATTGTTCAGGTTCAGTAATCGATTCTTAAAAGTCTTCATTCATTTCCCAGATTCCAAGTGCCATTTTAGGATTCCAGAGTTTTTTGGTGGATATATGCGTGCTGCATATTGCTTTAAAATTCACATAGTTTCAAAAGTAGTTTACTGTGCTCTTGAATGTTCCTTAAGATGCACAAATCCAAATTTATGCTGAGCATACAAAACCAGTTGTACAGTTCTTTTGGTTCTAGCCAAGCAATTTTTGTAACTTTTGAATAAGTACATTTGTTACTTAAGACTGAATTCTTTGAATTATAATTTAGGTGTAATAAATTGTATATTAATAGATGGCCATCAATAAGAAATTCAAGAATAGCAAATGGTCATTTTAAGATCTTAAGATTTACTGAGTCGTTTGTTTTGCTATAATGCAGATTCAAGAAAATGATGAGCTGAGACAAGCACATGAAAAACGTAAGAAACGTCTGCAGACGTTACAGATCAATTACAGGGCAGTAAAAAATCAGTTAAAGGAATTGGAGGAAGGTTATGGCAGGTAAGTTGCACAACTCAGTGGAATGATTATATATATTAAATTCAAATATGACTTTTGATACATTTTGATGGAACGGTTAAACTGAGGACGAACCATTTCTTGTTATTCTTAATTTTATGGAGAAAAACACATATTGCATAATAAATGTAATTGCTGTTGTTCCCATCTTGTCTTATGATTTATATTGTTTTCATTTTGTGTGGGTTTTTTTCAGCTGTTTTTCACATTTTTTGTATGTGATAAAAATAATTAGGAAGGAACTGTCTGAACTACCATTGTGTTTATCTTATACTATAACCAAGAAAGAAATCAGAAATTCCTTTACCCTATGGGAGAATTTGTTAATCTACTCCCAAATGGCCTTATAGCTACCATGCCTGCAGAACTGAGTTTGCCTTTGATAAGCATGAATATGAAATTGACTCTAATGACAATTATGATGACAACATTATTATTTTGTCCAATGATTTAGCAAGTGCAATACATCTTCTCCCCAGATGGGAGATACCCTCCCTACCCTGTTTATCTAGAAGGAAGACTTTTCAATATCTTGATTCTGACTTAGTGGACCAATCTGTGGATACCTCTGTGCAGATCCATGTCTTACCACCCCAATAGGATAATCTTTATCTCTGTTTAGAAACACTCCCTAAAATATTCTACAAGTTTTAGGACAAAATCCACCACTTGCTCTCTGTCTGCTTGGGTTCTTTCTGACACTGGAGATTTAGCGTCTATGAATGTTTCTACTTCTGCTTCTTGGATTATCATTCTCCTCCCTTATGTACAACTCACGTCCTGGTACATTGCAAAATTACATTCCAAATAATCCAGTCCAGATTAGATGCTTTATCA